TATGACGATGAAAAAAAAACACAAAATCTTAAAGAACACAAAACACAGGGGGGGGGGGTAATTGAAGTACATTTTCTCTCAGAATAAATATCTTACGGATCATTCACTTCACAAATGTAAACCACTTGCAGAAACTCCAATTTACATGTGCTTTTCTCATAAATATTTCTGCTTACCGATGTTTTACTATGAAACACGCAGTACCGCAAGTCACATATATTAGAAAGAAAAAGGAAAGTTTATCACAGTGTTGTGGATAGTTAGATCCCTTCATAAAGTCGCAGTATCTAAATGGAAGTATTATAAACAACTTCTCTTAAAACTCTCTCCTGCCTAGCCGCAATTGAAAATCGGAATTTAATGACGTGAATTGACAAGGGAAGAAGGGAGAAACACAACGCAACGTTCACCTTTAATGGATTAAGGGGTTAAAAATCAGGGAAACATAATCTCGAGGCAACCTGCAAATGCCGAGACATAATAACCATTAAACCTCTGATTCCCAGCTGCGGAACCACTGGCAGAGGCTTCCCTGACTATCTCTCAACGGCTAGATGGAAAACGATCCGCCGCGGATGGAAGAAAACGAGGAAAGAAAACGAGGAAAGTTGGTAGATAGCCGGAGCTAATCCAACGTTTCATTGGACACGCGCGCCGCTTTAATGCCGTAATATATTCCGGATAATGGGAAGCTGAATGGCGTTCAAGGTCAAGGGTGTGCAACGCATTTCCCATGGGAACCAGGTGTCCGTGACAAACGCGCCACCGCGTTACCATCGCCGCCGTCCGAGGGAAGTCCTTCCTGCTTCGATACGCCAAAAACCAAGCAACACAGGACACGCATGTCGCGTAAATACGACGACTGGACACGCGACGATTCGTTGGCTGTTCATTTTCTAATCGGTCGAAGATTCCTCTTGCGGAGACAGGATTTTCTTGGACGATAATTATTAATAACAATTTGATAATGAGTAATAAATAAATAATAATAATTTGATCATTATCGGATGTGGCTTGTAAAAATATTATTATTGTAATTATCAATAACTAATATTATTCATCGATAATAATTTATTAATTTTTTATTAATAAATATTTATTTTATTTTTAATTTTTTATTAATAATTTTTTATTAAGTAATATCGTTACAATGACTAAGATAATAGAATAATTATAAATCATTGTTCCACATTATTTACGACTGAGAGATCAGGTTAATTTCGATCGAAACCGAGATAAGAGGTCATTACCAATCGAACTTTTGTTGCGTATGCATTAACCAAATTTTAAAAGCGTGAATTTTTATATAACATTACATTTCTGAATATTTTGATCGTTTAAAGATTATCTAATATTTAAAAAGCGTTTAAAGTATTAAAAGAAGAATAAAAAATGAATGTGTTAAAAGTGGTAAAAGTGTGTAAATTTCGATCGCGCTGCACAGCACTAAAATGATTAAATGATAATAATTTGATCATCATCGAATGGGACGTATAAAAGTTTCATTATTGTAATTGGCCAAACTTTAGCTTTCATTCCCTTCAAAATAGTCTCTGAGTTGATACAGGGACGAAGCAATCTCGTGTGTCCATTGTCGAATCATAGAACCGTACGTCTATATTCTAGTAAATTACTGCTGACACGTATCAAGATATTCATAGCTCGTTGATATTTGGGCAGACTGATACACAAGGGTATAGACCGGTGACTCGCAAAGCCATTAAACTTTGTCTGATACCGACGATGAGATATCGATAAAGTCCGGTCAATTTTTGTTTGCACCTCGCATGTTGCGAATATGAAATCCACGTTAGCAACAAAATTCAGAAAGGGACTTTGATGTTCGAGTTAATGCGAAATGTTACTATAAATACACTTAAAGAAATACGATTTAGATATTAAAGATTTATTTTTCAGATGTTCAGTATCGAAAGTACACTTTTGCACCTTATTTGGTTATTGAACAAACTTGTATCGAATGATTGGCAATCAATTTGGTACTGTTAAACAAGAGAATTTATTGAATTATCTGAAACTTGTGATTAATGAAATTTTGTTAACGATGTTAATTTAATTACGCAAGTGAGCGTTGTTAGAAATTATACACGTAATTGTAAGTAATATTGGATTTCGTCTAATGGAGTATGCAAATTAGTCGAGTTTCTTGATTACATTGTTGAATTAGATTACTTGTAAAGAACTTGAGTCCCTGGAGGATTGAAGAGGTTTCCTGCAACTAGTTTTTATTAATTGAGAATGAAGTAAGTTTCGCTGTTTCTTCCAGTTAATCTTGTAGCATTTCCTAGGAATTGTAAATTAGTTTTCTTTTTTCAGAAATTTCTTCTATCTTGAGAACAAAAGAGTTTTCCATCTATAATTAACTTTGTAATAGTAAATTACTTCTTCCTTGTGTCTTCGTGTTTAATTCTATTTTTTTTACGTTTGGTTTTATTTTTTAATATGCGTAACTTACTTGACATTAAGTTTCAATTAAATCTTTAATCACCGTTTAATGAGCTGAATCGAATTAATTTGACTCGCGTGCCAACAATCTTTGTAAGCGATTGAAATTCTAATCGATGAAGCGAATAATTGATTATTCAGTTTTGTGTAAGATGAATAATCTTTTCGAATACCGATACATGCAACAAACATTCGTTTCAAAGAGGAAGATCAGGAACCAGGAACCAGGAACCAGTTTTCGCACAAAAAATCATTTTTATTGTCGAGCATGAAACAGCGATCAATAATTTAACGAACGATCGATCGTTAAAGTGACTCCCAATGCATACAATGACAAAGGTGACAAAGTATTAAAATAATAATAATAATAATAATAATAATAATAATAAAATAGTGCGCCAGTAAAACGAGCTATTGACCAATCGTCGACACTCTCGCTTTCTGCTCGCTAGTGACCGATCATCCGAAGGAACACGCTTCTGAAGCATTTCTCTCTGGATCAGCAGTCACAAATATCCCTTAAGTGTCTACTCGTCTCACAAACCAATTCGTTTCCCAAAAAGCACGCGCAGAATCTTAAAAAAAAAAAAAATTCTCGATAACATGCCCAGGTCCGTTTAATGGCACATCTAATGAAGATAAATCGGTACGCCGACGACAGGATGAAGCTGGGCAATAGGTGCGCTCTTGATTAGCCACGTTGGTTCGATGTTCACCTTCGAATCCCCATGAATTTGACTGATCCCATGACTGGAGATGGATGTAGTGACCGTGGTTGCAGCCAAGTTGGCTTCCTTAGCGACTGGCACGACTGGAACCAAATTTGCTTCCTTGGCAATCGGTACTTCCCTGACGATACCGGCAGTGACAAGTGCTTCGTCTTTATTTTCCACGGCTGTACTTTCTTCTTTAGCAATGTTATTTGGGACAGCAGAAAGAACTTCGGCCTCTTTAGCCTGCTTAGTGAGTCCGTGAATCTGGCTGACACCGTGGCTGGAAATGGACGTGGTTACGGACGCGGTGCCAATTTGAGCAGTCGGGATGATGGGTACAGCTTCCTTGGCGAGCACAGGCACGACGGGGAGAGACTCGCCAGAGATGATAGCAGAACCAAGAGGAATAACCGCTGGAGAAGACCGAACGACGGTCAATGGCGCTGGATCTATCTTAACCGCGTTTTTCAACTCTGGTCCCTCGATTCCCAACTGCTTGTGCAACTCTATGCGGTTCTCGTGATAAGTGGGCGCTCGAGCCAGCACCGGCAAGTCTCCCAATATGGTTTGCACTGGCAGGATCGGCTGCAGATCGACCGGTTTCGCCTTGGCCTCGCCCTCCGTTACGTCGAGACGCGCGTTGTTGTGCACTTGAACTTGGCTCTGATGCGAGGTCGCCAACGGAACGCTACTGGACAGTAACAGAGGTTGTAACAGAGTCTGCGATGAACCTTGTTCTCCGGCCTTCTGAAGGCTCCCGGATTTTTCATTCTGATTAGAATTGAGACTGCTGTCTTCTAAGCTACGTCTTCTGCGGCTGGATGCTTTGTCCGCGCTCCTGGCGAGGATGATGTGAGGTAGTTCGTTGTTCGAATTCTCGTCCGAAGGGATATTTGTTGCGGCCACGCGGAATCCGTTCTCATCAGCGACGTAGAACGCTGATTGAAGAATCCCATTGGCGTCCACGTAGCTGTAGGATCCTCGGAGAACACCGTCGGCGTCTTTGACTTCCTCTTTCGCGGATGGTCCACCAGCGTAGCTGTAAGCATGCACGCCTGTCCTCGTGTCTTGGAACTGGTTGAACACCGGGATTGGGTTGGACAAGTACGCGTACGGAATCAGGTTGAGCGGTGTGCCTGAGACTAGGCTCAGAGCCAGGATCAATGGAATCTGAAAGAAAAACGTGATGATTACTCAATAATAAAATTAAGCAGAGAAGAGTTAAAAATTCGTGAGCAGCTTTGCACATCGTCTTCAAAAAAAATTCAAAAATCTTTGTTTTGGAGAGATGATAATAATTTTTTAATATTAATAGTTGAAAATTACTGGAGTTGAGGTTTAAAAATTTTTGAGCAAAGTGGAGGGCATTTCTTCCGTTCAAAATTTTTGTTTAAAAAGAAGATAATGATTTTTAAATACACGTATTTAAGAGTTCTTCGGGATTCTTCGAATGATAATTTCGCTTACTTTATCGACTATTTTAGAGTTGAATACTTTATTATATTTAGTAAACTGAAATTTCTCTAAAATATTTTCTAATTTCTAGTCGCTAAAAATAAATATTATTCCATTGAATCATTTCTTTTTATATATTATGTTGACTTTTTTATTGGGTTTTTAAATATATCAGCTATAAAATTCACTGGAATGAAGGAAATTCCTTTCGGAATATCTATGATTTCTAAAAATTTCCTAAAGATAGAAAATTCTATTTCAATATCACAAATTGTAACAGTTTCAATTTCAAATTGGAATCCGAGAAAAACAAATCTTTCCCAGGATAATCGTGAACGGGCTCTAAAATCCTCTCAAGGTTGACGATTCGATGAATTGTACGGTCGAATTTTACGGACGATGGTATTCTCGTCGAGTCAGAAAGGGTGAGTTTATACTTGCATGAGATCCGGCTCTCTTTACGAGCCAATAACAGGCGAACGAGTGGCCACTGTAGCACCTCGAAACGCACAAAGGTGATCGAGCAACTCGTGGAAACGAAAAAGCTCTTTTTGCACCCTTTACGTTCTCTCTGGCATTGATTTTCGTATTGTGACAGTCATTTGACTTTCAAAAACGTGAAACATCCACAATTGTGGCGAAAAATATTTCCCAAAGTGCTTTTGCTTTTAAAGGCACGAATTTGGGAAACTCTCTTTCGGTTTTTTTCATGTGAAAGACCGAATTTAAAATTTGAAATGAATAATTATGACTAAATTATAATTATAAGAAATAAGTATTAATCGCTAAAACATTCAATATCCAGTATATTCAATAGTAAAGATTTATAACTAAATTGTGAATATTTCTGCAAATTTACATTTTTAAAAATATAATTAAAAGAACTATAATTAAATAGGTGATAGGTTTTTACGTATTACATGCAGTCTGAAAATTTTTTTCATCTTCAAATATGTCATAAAATTCGCCATCTATTCCTAACATTATTCATTAATCAGACGATAACAATAGAAAATAATAATAACGCAAATCACAATCTCTCTGTCGTTTGATCTCCTCTTTCACCCCGACAGACGATCATCAAACTCTAAGCTCTAAACAAGACAGATTTCAAAAGCAGAAAGCTGCATCTTCTGTTCTTCTATTAATCTTAATTATCTCCCAAACCACAATCAATTTTTCACGAAAACCCTCAATTTCTCAGCAGTAAACCATAGAAATTCTTCTCTTTGAAAATATCTCAGATCCAATCCAAATGAACTCAACTGGCCTTTCGTCTAATAAAAGAATGAAAGATCCAAGTAAAGTATCAGGGAGATGTCACTTACCAGCGACTGCATCGTGCGTTCGGTTAGTGTATTTTCCTTGTGTGAACCTCCTTGCTCGACGAAGGACTGTTCGGGCTGTGCACCTTGCTTCCGATCTGGTTTTGACTTATATACATAGCGGAGGGGACGAACGAGCCGCCGACAGTGTCTTCGAACCAGGAACCCGCGGAATCGTCGAAGGACAGGCGGATCCGTTCACCGAATACTCGGAGACGCGATTCCTCGATCCGAGATCCGGCATCCTTCGCCACGCCCTTCACTTCTTCTTCTTCTTCTTCATCAACCGGCCGTTTATTTGCTCGCATCTTGTTTTCTCGCCGTTTTAGCTTCGAAACTAGATCCACGTTTTCTGTAATGGGATACCAGACGTTGCTCGCGGACGCGAATATTTTACTCGATGGTTTGTCGCGAAGAATGGAATTAGTTACCATGCCGGCTGGAATTTGCTTGAGCTTCTATAAGAGTACTATCGACGAGCAACGTACGTATGTCGGAACAAAGCATGAAAGTCGGAGGAATTCGATATACAGCGTGAGGGTACATAATGTTTTTTATTCGTGACGAAAGTAACAGAAAATGCAATATTTGAGTTACCACTGTGAGAATGTTGCAAAGACAGTCCTTCATCAATTACTGTGAAAATCTTTTTCATTTATCTTTATAATTTGGTCGGTTTAAATTTATTCTTTGGATTTTTTTTTAATACTATACTATATTCTATAAATGTGTCTTATTATGAATTTTATCCTGATCATCCTTGTGAACAAACGAACATTAACAAAATGCAAAACTGTATTACTTTGAATTGATTAACAAACTAGTGTCGTGCTACTTTCTTCGCAATTGAGTGACGTAATTTACAGAAAATTTTCAAAAAAGTTCAAGTTCTTACCACTTTCAATACATTATCAAATTGCTAAAAGAAAGAATGAGAAAGTATCTATTTAACCCGAAAATTAAATAAAAGGACAATTTTGATGGAATATGATAATATCGGTAACAAGTTACGCAATGAATTTTAATACCTTTGTGGTATCGTAGTTAGTATCGAGTAAAGGTACTGAGTTTTAAAATTATTCCTCTGCAAAACTTCTAGTAGTCGTTTAGTAGTCTCCTAATCAAATAATTAGAAAAATATAATAAAGCAACATTGCTTTCACCAAATATAGAAGTTCCTCTGTATACCTTTCTTGAATCGATGGATCCCCGTGCACAATAGAACGCGTGATTGCGTTCCTCCATGCCTTTCGTGGCAACAATTTGACCGTCCTTGGTCGTAGTATTTTACAATACGGTAAAATTGTTTGGCTGCCGCGGCTTTTTTCCTCAGTCGTTCAGGAATCCTCCCTTGTTACAATAAAATCGCAACGCCAAGGCTATTCTCGATGACCCGGACGTGGCCAATCGAATGATCGAACGAACGTGGTTATCCTGTGTTGTGTATCGCGAACATCCTGGTTCTGGATTGTAATGGCGACGTGTTACCCCGAGAATTATTTGTCAATGTCAACGAAGACACGCGGCAAAGGCAAGCAGAGTGCTTTGTTGTGCTGTTGATGCGGTGGATTGAAGATGCAGCAGGATTCTTCGATCTCAGTTCTGGGTGGTAACTCTCTTCTTGATCTGTCTTTCAATTTGCAAATACATAAGTATTTTTAAATAATTGAATATCTATAGGAAGGTTGATGGAAACTCGATGATATTTAATCTACGGAGAATCGACATTTTTTCGCAAAAATAGTCATAATGATTTTTCTTTTTAAAAGATTCATGTATTTAAATATTATATAAAGTAGTTTTTGCCGGTCCTCTAAAGATTAAGACAAGAGGAATAAAAATATTATTATGTTTTCTAAAGCTATTGTGAATTTGTAATAGTTAATTGCAGAAGTTTTAACATCGGATTCCGTCTCAATCCTTTTTATAATAATTAATTATAGTCTTGAATTTTATGACCTGTAAGATGAAATCTCAGTTCTTTTCCAGTGTTGAAATAGTAGATAAGACATTTGAATTTAAAAGGACAGAAATGATAAAGAACTCCTACGAAAAACAGAGCACGTTCTTTTGCACCAACGTACTTTGGTCTCTTGAGGGGATTTCTCACTGTTGGTCATCGTCCTATGGAAAGTCAGTGTACATAACTTTGTGTAGGCGACGGTGGTCACTCTGTGGTCCCCAGATATCGAGTCTTGATCACCTTGATAGCCGTTTGTTCTCCAGCTACCGAGAATTGCCAAGCACGCACGTAGGAAGTGACAATGCTCCCTCGTAGGCGAGCTTCACTCGACAAAACAGTGGATAATCAGGGAGTAGATACTTGCCTACGTGAGAAACTTGAAGTACAAAAGGGAAAAAGGAAATAAATGTGGAAAAGGCAGTGGAAGCGTGATAATCAGAGAAGAAGGAATCGTGATTGTAGAAGAAGAAACCATGAATTAACGTGGATACTCGAAGTATCTCTGTTTCTTTCTTTTTCCCTCTCTCCCTATCTCTTTGTATGTTAATTTTGCTTACAATGTTATCGCAAATTAACATTCTCATTTTTATAATGAATTAAATACATAGAGCTAAAAAAAATATTAATTGCAATATATTGCTAATGCAAGTAAAAAACCGAAGACTATTAACAGGAAGTACCGCCATTACCTTTTTATATTTAATTCACAAGGTACTATTTTAGATGCATTTCGATAGAATAATTCTTAAATTTATTTTGTTGAAATATTCTCATTTGTTTGCTTTTTATTAAATCATTAATATTCTGTACACAATTTTTATCATAAAATGGCTTTAGAATTTTATTTGTTACATTAATATACTAATTATATGTCTGTTATGCTGCTGTAAATGCTACATCTATTACTTTACGAAGATACGAATATAGTTAAGAATTCCAAG